CGCACAAAACAACCTCCGCCCTGCATTCCGGGTGCGGCTTCAGGCCAGGGAGCTGCACCTCAGAGTCCAGCCCACTCCCCTCGTCCCCTCTGGGCCCTTAACCCCTTACCATCCGGGGCCAGCAAGTGTCCAGCCCTGCCATCCAAAGCCAGACGGGTGAGCTGGGCTAAGGAAGTGGGGTGAGCAGGCCTGGCTCCCTCCCAGCTTCTCCTCCCCATCCCCATCCACCTCCCAGGAAGCCCCCTCCGGCCCAGGGGGAGCGCCTGGGGCTGGCCTGGCGCTTCCGGAGCGAGCCTGGCAGAGAAGGAGCCTCCCGGCTTTCTGGGCGGGGCGGGCTGCGATGCCAGCGAGGGACGCAGGAGAGGGCGGAACCTGCCCGACCAGGCGAGAAGGACTAGGGAGGAGCACGGCCCCACCAGGCCAGCGCCTGGGTGTGTTGCGCCCGGAGGGTGGGGGGGCGACGATCAGCAGGTGCCTGGCTGGTAGGACTCTGGGTGGGGGCCAGCCCGCCGGGTCTCTCCTGGGCTCCCTCACCCCCCAAGCAGCTCCCTGGGCCCGGGCAGGAGCACCCGCAGGAATTCCCCTCTCGCCTCTCCACCGACTTCCCTTCCGGGGGCGAGGTCACTCCTCCGGCTGCTGGCGCCTCCGCCCTGGAAACCAGGCCACTTGGCTTCGCTGGGGTTTCGCGCAAGACGAGCTGGTTACCTCCCTGACACCGGAGGAGGGAGTGGGGTGGGGCGGGGAGGGGGTCCAGGGCCTCCCGGGCTCCCCACGTCCCCCCGCTGGCTGCGCTAATTCTCGGACAGCGAAAAGGCACCTTCAACATCTCCATTTAATATGTACATTCAAGCAGGTAATGATCGGAAGCCGAGTTTAGACAGTTCTAGCAGCAGTTTAGTCTAGAGCGCTCGCTTAGCCTTTTAACAAACTTTTTCTTTTTTTCCTTTTGCACATAGAAACAACACACCCATGTGTACGGTATCAAAAAATATATACCAAGGTCACCGATATTGCAGTTCCTGGGAGGGGCGGACATGAACGCAACCGAAATACTGACCGCGCGGGCAGAGGGCCGACAGAAGCGGGTCTGTGAGAGAGAGAATATACCATGATCTAGAGGAACTCCATAAATCTAGGCTTTTATATTTCAATATATAAATACCTACAAATAAATATAGATATATCAGCCCGACGGCGTGGCCGGGCCTTCGGAGCTCAAACAATACATTTCCATAATAACACCACGTACAAACGGGAGTGGAGTCTGCACTGACACGTTAGCGGGTTAAAATATAATACTTTGCCTCCCGGGCGGCTGGCTGCCGGCGGCCCCGGTCGGT